AAGGAGAAATCTCCCTCACATGCGGTGGCTTTTAGAGGAGTCTTGTGGCACCTTCCCATCAGAGCCCACAATCACAGTGGCCCACAACACCAACCGACTCCTCATAATAATGAAGTGGAGAGGACTGTGGACCTCCAGAGGGGCCAGAGAGGATAAAGAGTAGAAACGCCAAGATGACAGAGTAATAGTCAAAGATTGGTTGAAAGGTTAACAGTCTCCTCCTGAGGTTTTATTTGTATCCCCACCCACCCTTTATTTAACTCATGTAGCTGCACTGTAGAGTCAAATTAGAGTTACCAAGAGCAACAACCTAAAATGAACATTAATATGATTGTGCTCTTGTTTTTATTCTTGTTTTCACATAAATTTGAATGGTAATATGCTGAAGTCTTAAAAGCATACCTCAAATACAAGAAACAAATCTTCTGTAATATGGGATATGCTAGATATATTCAAACATCTTTTTCCTTAATCAGTCCTCTCTAAAGCTGCTGCTGCAGCTATGCCAAGGGCTTGTGTAGAGCAAACCTCCATGGAGTATAAATCCCTGAAAAATGACTTTGTAATAAACAATTCTCAAGCATGCTTTTTCAGAGCAATCCGTGATCTGAGCTTCCGAGGTTGGCTCCAAATACTTCATGGCAATTTACTGACACCATGAAATCAAATTAAAAATGCATTTGGACATTGATCACCTGATGCACCCAGATTGATCGCTGCTCAAAAAGCAACCTTGTTGTGTTTTCACCTTCCCATGCCATATAAAGGTATTGATCCGCAGACTCACCCTTGGATCTATATGAACCATTAAACATTCTTTCAGTGTTTCTCCATCCATTTATGTGACTCATGGCAGATTCCAATGAGCTAAAAATGGCCAACCCATTGCTTAGCAGACCAATAGGTTGAGAGACACCACTGCAGATCTTCAACTAATGAAGCCAGGTGATAATGTCAAATTAACTATCCATTTAACAGCACTGTTCTTCAAATTAATTTTCTGCAAGTCAAAGCCAGACAAAGACTATAAAGCATTCAAATGTTCACAAACAGCTTGAAGAGAGGAATACTTCATTAGAGAGAGAGCAACATGTTTAATTCAAAAACTTAGAGAAGGTCAATTTGCACTTTTATAATCACTCATAATCATGCATTCTCTTTTAACACAACTGAAACCAGGGGGGAAAAACTGCGCACCACCTAATGCTGTTTGAGGCACATGAGTGGTACAATGGATGTGAAAGAACAAACTGAATGCCAGTGAATAAGATGCATTTGTATGCAAAATTGCCAAGAGAACCCAGAGACGGATCTGCAGGCAGACAGATATGCATGTAATCAGGTAGCAATTCTGCTTGTCTACTGTATGCTCAATCTGTGCCATGCTGCGCAGGGCAGAGGGACAGGTGAATGGCGAATGTCATTGTCTCTGAACATTGGTCCACAGGAATGACCCAATCTCTGTCCACATTAGCACGAATCAACTCCCGTGGGCCTCGCCTCCTTAGAAAACTGTGGATACAGCACATTCGGCCAAAAAAAAAGTCTCACTTCAATATCCGGGAAAAGCCACATTCTCTTTCACCCTTCCTGACTTTTGGCCAACTCAATATTTCCCTCGCTTTCTTCTCCTGAAAGAGTGCTTCACTGTCCACCTTGTTCTCCTTCCATTTCACCCAACTCTTTCTTATAGTATTT